GAGTTGGAGGTTGCTGTGAGCTGTAATGCCACAGCACTCTGTCCAGGGGGATAGCTTGAGGCTCTGTCTCAAAAAAAAAAAAAAAAAAAAAAAAAGAGTTCTAATGCTAATGGGTCAGGTTGATTTAATTTTTCTGTCTTTAAAGGACACTTTCAAGTGGGTTTCACTATGTGAATTATTCTGTTTTAATTAAGGATTAAAGTTTGAGCTTTAATAAGAGAATTTTGTGGTTCATGTTTATTTTTGAACTGTGGCTGATTATTTGCCCAATGTTATACTCTGTTAACTGATGACATCAGATTGTTGTAGACCTTTGAAGACTGAATTATATAAAAATTTAAGTCTAAGGCGGCGCCTATAGCTCAGCGGGTAGGGTGCCAGCCACGTACATCGGGGCTGATGGGTTCCAACCTGGACCAGGCCTGCTAAAACAACAATGACAGCTGTAACAACAACAACAAAAAATAGTCAGGCATTGTGGTGGGCGCCTGTAGTGATGAGAGAGCTGTCAGCTACTTAAGGCAAGAGTCTGGGGTTGCTGTGAACTGTGATACCACGGCACTCTACCCAGGGTGACAGCTTGAGATTCTGTCTCAAAAAAAAAAAACTAAAAAATTTGTATCATGTTTTAAGAATTGTTTTGGAAATACTGGAGTTGACAGATTCTTCAGAAAAAACTTGGAGATTACAAATAGAAAGTGAAATGAATGTTCTTTTTTAAAAAAAGATACAAGCATTACTGGCTTTGTATATGTTTAGTCTTACAGAATACTAGAAATGGATCTAGATTAGCAAATACTAAAATACACTGATAAAAACAAAGGGCCAGTTGCTGGTTATGACCATGTCAGCCACATTAAATGGTATGTTTGGTTTAGGGTTTAAATGAATTAAATTTTTAATTATATTTTTCTCAACTTTGTCTTTTAGATTGAGTTGGGATCTTGTTTTTGGTTTTTATACTTCATTCTAATTTTTTTTTAAAGAATTAGTATGCTTTTAATATATTTTATTTTATTATATTTAAAAATGATTTTTTTAATTCATGTTTTTTTTCCTAGGCCCTTATGTTAGCTATGGGATATCATGAGAAGGGCAGAGCTTTCCTGAAAAGAAAAGAATATGGAATAGCCTTGCCATGTCTGTTGGATGCTGACAAATATTTCTGGTAGGCACTTTTGTATGTGGCAAATACCAGTTTTAAGGAAGATGACCCAGATTCTACACAGCACCGCCACCCCCTGTGTACTTCAGGCTAATTTAGATTTTCACTCAACTTGGTGATTGATGTAAAAGAGAAGTTAATTTGAGAGTTATTTCTTCCCTTTGTGTTTGTAATTCATCTCTTCGCTAAAGAATTTTGTAACCATATGTCCTTTTTTGTTTTATTTATTTATTTATTTTTGCAGTGTGTTGCCAGCCAGGACAATTCCTTATGAAGTTCTCTGTCAGCTCTTAACCTGAGGGTTTTGGTGTAGGTGTTGCTGGTCATTCCTGAAATCCATTGCTTCATTAGGGGCTGCAAATTTGGGGTGCCCTGTTATTCTTTTTACATTTATTGCTGAAATTCTTCTGAATAGAATACTTTTAGTCATCAGCTATTTGGTTATACTGAGGTAGAATTTGTATAGGAAAAGATGATAAAATATTTGATTCCTTTCTCCTTATTTTCAGAATAAATAAGCTGTTTTACTAGCATCCACTAAAGGTGACCAAAGAGATCTTCATTTTCTTTTTTTTAAGGATCAGTATATTGGGCGGCGCCTGTGGCTCAAAGGAGTAGGGTGCCAGCCCCATATGCCAGAGATGGCGGGTTCAAACCCAGCCCTGGCCAAAAACTGCAAAAAAAAAAGATCAATATATTGACTCTTGGATTTTAATATGTTTAATGTATTTTAAACTTCTGTGCTTAAATTGGCCACGCTGACATGTGCCCCGTGTCCTTTGACCTGATTCTGGTGGACCTTGTGTTCTCTGACCTCTGAAGCCCAGAGATACTCCAGCCTCATCTTTGGCACTTCATGCCCCACACCAGGAATCAGCAATTTCTCAGGGTCCTTTTTTCCTCTTAATAGGAATAGGCATATTAAACATTTGAAAAGTAGAGTTGATTTTTGAAATGATCAAAAGTTAACTTTAGTATTAGTTTCTTTTCTATTTTGATGAATTCCCAAGATGGTATTGTACACTTCAAGATGAAGACAGATGTTTACAGTTTGCCAGCTGCATTGGTCAGCACTTTGGGGTTCTAAGTGAACAAATCCCAACTTTAACTTAAGAAGGAACTTAGTGGCTTGGCGCCTGTGGCTCAAGTGGCTAAGGCGCCAGCCACATACACCTAAGGTGGCGGGTTCGAATCCAGTCCGGACCTGCCAAACAACAATGATGGCTGCAACCAAAAAATAGCTGGGCGTTGTGGCGGGCGCCTGTGGTCCCAGCTACTTGGGAGGCTGAGGCAGGAGACTTACTTGAGCCCAGGAGTGGGAGGTTGCTGTGAGCTGTGAAGCCATGGCACTCTACCCAGGGGATAGTTTGAGGCTCTGTCTCAAAAAAAAAAGAAGGAACTTAGTGTCTCACATATTTGGGAGGGGAGGAGCCAAGCTAAGAAAAGCAAAAGTGAGTGCTGGTGGCTCTGGGGTCTCTGTCTCTGCTGCTTTCTGGGTATCACTTTCATTTTCCTCTGCTGCAGTGTATTCTGTAAGTTGGGTCCTTAAAATTTAGGTTAATTTTTCATTCTCCTTCCATAATTGTCTCTGATTTTTTATTATGGAAAATTTCAAGTACTATGTATATATAAATAGAGGCTAGTGTCATGAACTCTCATATACTCATAATCCAGCTTTAGCCGTCCGTTATCAAGACATAGTTGATTTTAATTCATCTGTGTGATCCTCTGTCAATCTTTTTGCCTTGAACAAATCCTTGAAATAATTTTCAGGTCTCAGGGAATCCCTGAATAAAATATGTTGTCAGTTTGTGGTACATTAACATATTCTGTAAGTAGTAGACATAATAATTATCACTGCCTTTCTAAGTACATAATTTTTTTTCCCTGAGGATCTGTGTATTCTGGCCAACTTATTAGCATATTTTTTGTAGGATTTCCCTCTTTAATAAAGGAGATCAGCTGGAATGCAAGTCAGTAATATAGGTGGAGGAAATGTCAGTTCCCTTTTTTTTTCCCCAATTTGTTTTCTTTTTCCTACCTCCAAGTATGCTGGGAGTTCTGTCACAACTTTCTGTTATACATCTTGGAGTATAAATTCTTTCCCTACTTAAAACTAGCAATGTGAGCTGTGCCTTCAGCCAAGATGGAGTAACAGGGACTGGATTTGCCCTCTCACCTGAAGGAACTAAAAAACTGGGCAAAGTGTGTGGACCAGTGGCTTCTTCACAGTGCAAGTCAGTGACCATGAGATGAGGAAACAGATGAGGGGTGCTCACTGCCTGGAGAAGTTTCCACCTGCAGAGCAGGGAAGGCAAATCCAGACAGAGCCCTTGTGCGCCCCTGGGCTGAGGAGATGGAGTTAGAGGTCTGGGAGGCCGAGGAGGTGGGAGGAGAGAGCTACCAGAGGGAGTGCATCAGAGAGCGCCAAGGATCCCTTTGAGTCGTCTGCTGAGTTATGATCAGCACACGTGTGCAGAAACTGCCCAGGGATGGGCAGTGAACCACTTAAAAAAGCAAAACATTCCTCAGAGTTCATAGAGGGCCAGAAGTAGTTTTATCAGCCTGAACAGAGATCTTTGTAATCATAGGGCATCAGAGAGCATTGAAAAGGAATTACCTCAGTACTAGGGCAAAATTAGCCCTAAAGGCTGCTCTCATCCTACCTAACAAAGCCTAAAAGCTGTCCTTAAACAGTATCCTCAAGTAATTTGAGTGTATCCTTAACAGTGCTCAGTAATTTAGTGATACAGAAATAGCCAAGATCCAGTTAAAAATTAGGCATGTAAGGCCAGGTGCAGTGTCTCACACCTGTAATCCTAGCACTCTGGGAAGCTGAGGTGGGTGGATTGCTTGAGTTCAGGAGTTCAAGACCAGCCTGAGCCAGAGACCCACCTCCAAAACTAGTTGGGCTTTGTGGTGGATGTCTGAAGTCTCAGTTACTTGGGAAGCTGAGGCAAGAGGATCCTCTTGAGCCCAAGAGTTTGAGGCTGCTATGAGCTGTGACACTGTGGTGCTGTGACACTGGCGCTCTCCCAAGGGCAACAAAGTGAGACTCTGTATCAAAAAATAAATACATTAGGCACGTAAAGAAGTAAGAAAATATAACCTGTAACAAAAACAAGCAGAAAAATCAATCAATAGAAATAGAATCAGAAGTGACAAGAACATAGAATTAGTAAACAAAGACATTAAAACACCGACTGTATTCCTTTTGTTCAAAAAGATTGAGGAAGGATTCGGCATGTCATAAAGACATGGGAGATATTCAGAACCCTACAGTGGAATTTAAGAGAGATAAAAAAATACAGTGTCTGAGTTGAAAAGTATATTGGGTGGGATTGAGTAGAGAATAGACACTACAGAAGGCATTAGTGAATGTGAAGATAAGTCAGTAGAAATTAACATGAAACAAAAAAGACTGAAAAAAAAAATGAACAGAGAATCTGCAAGCAGTGGGACTTCAGGCAGACTAACACATATTGGAGTCCCTGAAAAGGGACGTAGGTTGAGACAGAAGAAATATTTGAAGAAATAACAGAATTTTTCCTAGTTTGATGAAAATTATAAACCCTCAGAGTGGCGCCTGTGGCTCAATGGGTAGGGTGCCAGCCCCATCTACCTAGGGTGGTGGGTTCGAACCTGGCCCTGGCCAAACTGCAATAACAACAAAAAAAGTAGCTGGGCGTTGTGGTGGGTACCTGTAGTCCCAGCTACTTGGGAGGCTGAGGCAAGAGAATTGCCTAAGCCCAGGAGTTGGAGGTTGCTGTGAGCTGGTGACACCACAGCACTCTACCAAGGACAATAAAGTGAGACTCTGTCTCTAAAAAAAATAAAAAAACCCGTCAAATATCAGAATTTTAATGAACATCATCTACAAGAAATAGGGAGGAAAAATCTACACCAAGGCACACTATAATGCAATTCTTTAAAAGCAGTAATAAACTAAAAATGACTTTTTGGCTAACTTATCTTGAAAAAAAGACACTTAAACTTAGCTTACCTTTCTTGAATTAATCTTTATTTTAACTAATATTATTTTCAACATAAAATTTATTGGCAGTGTGGAATATTAAAGCTATTAAAATCATAAACCAATGTTAATAAAAAATATACTCTAAAACACAATTTTGTACCCAGCTTTAAAAACTTATATTTTTTCCCAGTGACAGTTCAGATATAGGCCTAGCATTATCATACATAGGTGCTGATTTCTTAAAACTAAAAGGATGAAACATCCCTCTCTAATAGGAGAACTGTGCTTTGAGTTTTAGGGGATATTTTTCTCCACAAATACTCAGTCCTGGGTCAAACTTAAAATAAGCATACATTGATTTTGTGTTTAACTGACATGAGTTTCTATTCTTGCTCTTGACATGTGCTAAACACAAAAAAGCCTGCTTGAGCACATGTGTAAGAAATTAAAGAGGGGATAAAAGTGTCCCTGGCTTTCCTGTGAGTGGCAGGATAGTCTTCTGTCAACAAAAAACGAGAATATGTCCAGGGGCAGATCAGGAAATCTCAGTTTGAATGTGAGGCCACAGTCTGTAAAGGCCTTCCTCTTCTCTCACGTTAAGTTCTTAAGCCGAATGGGTTTGGAGAAATTGCTCTCACCTGGCCTGCACCTCTGTCTGTGTGTGTGTGTGTGTGTGTGTATGCACATGTGTGTACATTATGGTTAACGTGCTCAAACATTAACCAAAACTAGAAATGTTAAAGACAAAAATAAATGTTAAGATATTGCTCTGATACATTTTTCTTGCCCCTGCCTATTCCCACTGGACTGTCTGTATGGGTTCTCTCTCCTAAGAGAGGAATGTTTTAAAGCATAAATGATAAAAGTCATTCAGAAAAAAAAAAAAGAAGAACAAAAGTCCTTTGGGTTTTCCTTTTTTTCCCAAACATCATATTTTAATAGGCAAGACGAGAAGCTGAGAGCATGTGGGTTTTGTAATTTTATTAGTGTTTAACGGTTGGTTCCAAATGTTCTTTCTTAGTAAAGACTTGAGATTTAGATGAGCATTATGAATTTTTTTTTTTTTTTTGAGACAGAATTTTACTCTGTCGCCCTAGATTAGACTGCTATGGCATCGTCATAGCTCACAGCAGCCTCAGTCTCTTGGGTTCAGAGATCCTGTTGCCTCAGCCTCCTCAGTAGCTGGGACTACAGACACCTGCCAAAACGCCCACCTCGTTTTTTTCTTTTTCTGTTTTTAATAGAGATGGGGTCTCTCGCTCAGGCTCGTCTTGAACTCCTGAGCTCAGGCAGTCCACCCACCTCGACCTCCCAGAGTGCTAAGATTACAGTTGTGAGCCACTGTGCTCCGCCTGCATTATGATATTTTTTTCCAGCTTTTGGCCAGGGCTGGGTTTGAACCCCCCACCTCTGGTATATGGGGCCAGCACCCTACTCTTTTGAGCTACAGTTGCCACCCCAGTATTATGAATTTTTAACATAAGCCCAACTTAAAATAGATAATTTTGATGACTGTCTTTGTCAACATTCCTCTTGGACCACACTGACTCCATTTGCCTTCCTATCCCGGGGACTGGGTTTGGCTGGCACATGGGCCCTCAGAAGTCATCTAGGCCTTTACAGCCTAGAACGTTTGAGTTGTTCCCCTTCCCCAGCTTGAATATGGTTGAACATGAATGTCCTGTCAGAGCCTATGTCAGTTGAGACATAATTAATAGTGATTTTTTTTGGGGGGGGGAGGTGTCTTTAAAGCATTGTTTTCAACCTTGGTTATATGATAGAATCACCTAGAGAGATTTCATAAATACACATCCAGGCCCCACCCCCAGAAATTTCTGTTATAATTGGTCTAGGTGGGATCCCAGCATCAGTATGTTTCAAAAAAAAAAAAAAGGACAGAAAAACCATTCCTCTTATGTGGATCATTCCAATTTATATTCAGGGTCGGAAGGCACTGCTTTAGAGCATGGTCTCCCCACGTTTGTTGGGGGTTCTGATATAGGGGCTCCCAATTCTGTTCCCTGCAAGGCCTCTCCCCCCACATAGCAAGGGTGTGTCTGTCTGTCCTGAGGCAGGTGGTGGTGAGTTGCTCTTCCTGAGCCCTAATTCCTTTTTTTCTCCTCACTGGAAGGATTCCAGCTTTGCAAATGTTGGCATCTCTCTCTTAGAGCAGTCAACCTCTGCAAATAGACCAGAAACCTGGAAATAAATTCCAGTAATTCACAGAAAGCTTTATCATGCTGCTTGTCTGCAGTGTTGTCTCTCTTCTCTTGCAGTGAGTGCTGCAGAGAGCTGCTGGACACAGTGGATAACTACGCAGTGCTCCAGCTGGATATAGTGTGGTGTTACTTCCGCTTGGAACAACTGGAATGCCTTGATGATGCCGAAAAAAAATTAAACTTGGCCCAGAAATGCTTTAAAAATTGCTATGGAGAAAATCATCAGAGACTGGTCCACATAAAAGTATGTTACTATAATTGGTTCTTTGCATTGTTGAGTCCATTTTTTGGGTAGTGGTAGTATGCACTATGTTCTTTTAAAGTATACTTTTATAAAGTGTTAAATGTTTTACAAATCTGGCTATTTCTTTGGTAGATAAACATTTAGTCCAAAGGAGCACAGTTTTGTTTTGTTTTGTTTGTTTTTGAGACAGAACCTCACACTGTCACCCTGGGTAGAGTGCTGTGACGTCACAGCTCACAGCAACCTCTAACTCCTGGACTTAAGTGACTCTCTTGCCTCAGCTCCCAAGTAGCTGGGACTACCGGTGCTCGCCACAGCGCCTAGCTATTTTTTTGGTTGTAGTTCTCATTGTTGTTTGGTAGGCCCAGGCTGGATTAGATCCTGCCAGCTCTGGAGTATGTGGCTGGTGCCTTAGCCGCTTGAACTACAGGCGCCGATCCAGGAACACAGCTTTCTAATCACAGAACCCCACCGATGATTTCCCTGACCAGGAGAGAGCTGGTGACTTATGTTCAGTAGAGTCTAATTTGCAAGATTGTAAATGTAGCAAATAGACACTTCAACAGTAACAGTTCTTTTGAATGAGTCACAGCTCAAAAGCTGTGATTTGAGTGAGGATTTTTCTATGATTTCCATGTGTCGTCAAAATCTTTCTTGTGCAGAATATCTCAGGCATATCTGCCATGTGAGAGGGCTGTGGTCCTGGATGTCTGCAGGCAAGGTGCTCTGACACCTGTGTCCTCTTTTCAAGGAGTGTCATTGTGCTTGGGGGCTTCACTTTTGCCATCAGTAGTAGTGAAACTACCGATATTTTAGTACTGTCATTTTACCTCTATGGAGACAAAGGGAATTACAGATATGAATATTACAGAACTATAATTATAAATAAGACAGTTTTATCTCTTCTTTCCCTCAATAATTTTAGGGAAATTGTGGGAAAGAGAAGGTATTATTTTTAAGACTCTACTTGCTTCAAGGTATTCGAAACTATCACAGTGGAAATGGTGAAGAAGCTTGTGAGTATCTCAATAAGGTAAGAAAAGTAAAGTTGTAGCCATTTGCACCTGCTTTTTTCAATCCCTAGAAATTAATTATTTTATCAACTCAGTAATTTGTGACTTGTGAGAAATGTGCCTCTGCTTTTCTTCTCCCCCTCATATGCACCATAAACATGTTTGTATTTGTTAGGGGTACAGGCAAGATGCTATGATAAGGGAACTTCAGAAAGACAGTGGCTTTAATTGGATAGAAGTTTATGCCTTTCATCTTGAAGTCCAGAGGGAGCAGGCCAGCCAGCCTGGACGCATAGGTCCCAGATTGCTCCTGTCAGTGCCTCTTCCAGCCAGTAGAGGGGGCAAGAGAGGTCATCCAGAGCAAACCTCTTGAGAGAGATGACCCAGAAGTTACACCCAACACTTCAGCTACATACATTTGTAACCATCTGGCTAGACCTAGCTGTGAGGGAGGCTGAGAAGTGTCATGTGAACACCTCAAAATCAGGGAATTTTAGGGGGTTTGGGGAGACAGAGTCTTACACCTAGCTGGGAGAGCAGTGGCATAATCATAGGTCACTACAGCCTTGAAAGTACTGGGCTCAAGGGATCCTCCTGCCTCAGCCTCCCAAGTACTTGGACTACAGGTGTGTGCCACCACACCTGGCTAATTTTTAAAATTTTTTTGTAGAAATGGGGTCTCACAATGTTGCCTAGGCTGGTCTTGAACTCCTGGCCTCAAGCAATCCTCCCATCTTGGTTTCTCTCCCAAAGTGCTAGGATTGTAAATGTGAGCCACCACACCCAGCCCCAAATTCAGGGGCTTTTATTACAAAAATGAAAGGGATACTGGATACCAGTTACTTCCACAACACCTAGCCTGTCACTCATGTTGTATTATGGATTAGTTATCTGAACAGAGATAGTGTTGTCTGTTTCTACTTCTAATTAATACCAGGTCAGATTTAGAGATTTTATGTAAAATCTGATGCATCTTAATTCATGTTGAGTACAGTATACTTCCTTTTAAGCTTTAATGTTGCTATAGTTACGTGATCTTTGTATTTCTCCCTGTCTGTAGGCACGTCAGCTCTTTAAAGAGCTATATATTGATCCATCAAAAGTTCACAACTTATTGCAGTTGGGATTTACTGCCCAGGAAGCCCGGCTTGGCCTGAGGGCATGTGATGGGAACGTGGATCACGCAGCTACTCACATTACCAACCGCAGAGAGGTACCCTCTTCCCATGGGCTCAGCAGTGCTCGGTTGAGGCCTGTGCCTCAGGTTTCAAGGTTGGGAAACTTGAGGCAGTGGCAGGCTTGTTTCCAAAATGCCTCAGCAATCTTGGGTACAAAAGAACAAAAAAAGGTAATCCCCTAGGAGTACTAATGACAAGAAACTCTATCACTCCATATTGGAAGGATGGAGAAACTTGTCTTTTTTAATTCTATCATTTTAGACAATATGGTTTCCTTAGTTTTCTTTTCTTCTGTGGAGGCAGGTTATATAAACCATCTCCTCTCTCTTCACCTCCCTCTATCCACATCTCTCTCTCTCACCCTAGTGTATTTCTAGAAGTCATTTTATAAGGAGGGTATGTTTTTCCATGGGACCATTATTAGAATTGGATTCTATTCTTGCCTAGAAACATGAGTCAGATCATAGGAGTGAATAACATACAATGAAAATACAGGTTAAAATCTAGTCATTTAAAATAGGTAAAGAAAACTTTAGAATTTTGGAGTTGGAAGGAACCATATCATATACAATATGATAGTTTTATAATAAAGGAACTGAGGTCCAGAGAGAGTTGATGATGGGATATTAATAGTAAAATCATTTTTTTTTTTTTTGAGACGGAGCCTCAAGCTGTCCCCCTGGGTAGAATGCCATGGCATCGTGCTCACAGCAACCTCCAACTCCTGGGCTTAAGTGATTCTCTTGCCTCAGCCTCCCAAGTAGCTGGGACTACAGGCGCCCGCCACAACGCCTGGCCATTTTTTTTTTTTGGTTGCAGCCATCATTGTTGTTTGGCGGGCCCCGGCTGGGGATTCGAACCCGCCACCTTAGGTGTATGTGGCTGGCGCCTTAGCCGCTTGAGCCACAGGCACCGAGCCTTTTTTTTCTTTCTAAAACAAGAAGTTGGCATTAGATTATCTCACAGGTTCTTTGTAGTTATAAACTCCAGCCATAGAAATCTCTGGAACCTTTGCATGTATATATGCTTTTGTTAAACACCAGGATAATCTTGAAGGGAACAGAAAACGGCCTTAGGGGCATTTGGAAGGGAGGCAGGAAAGCCTAGTGGTCATTTGCCTGCCTATTGGTTGGCTGGGGGTAGAGTTATGGGTTAGTTACATGGTGACCAGTCAGCACGCTGTTCAGGTTTCTCCCAACACCAGCTGTGTTAATTCCCTTTCTCTCCCTCTCCCCCAGTTTGCACTCGACTGCTTTCCTTATCATGGTCCATCGGGTTTTGCTATAGAAATCAGTGAGTAGATAAAGACAGAGACTTGGAGAAGCTAAGTTCTGTGTGTTTGCATTTATGCAGTCTAATTCAGCACTAACAGAAAAGTAAACACTGCTGATAGTGCATTTGTTACTTTACTATTATTATTTTTTTTTTTTTTTGAGATAGAGCCTCAAGCTATCCCCCTGGGTAGAGTGCTGTGGCATCACAGCTCACAGCAACCTCCAACTCCTGGGCCCAAGCGATTCTCTTGCCTCCACCTCCCAAGTAGCTGGGACTACAGGCACCTGCCACAATGCCCCGCTATTTTTTGGTTGCAGCTGTCGTCGTTTGGCAGGCCCGGGCTGGATTCGAACCCACCAGCTCAGGTGTATGTGGCTAGCGCCTTAGCCGCTTGAGCCACAGGTGCCGAGCCAGTTTACTATTATTGGATTACCAAAAAAGATGTATCAGCACTTGGAAAGCCAGTGTTTTAAAAGATCATTTGAAAAATAATTCTTATCATGGTATAACACTTTATAGTTGATAAGAGTCTCACAGTCATGTCATTTTGTTCTGCCTGTGACCACCTATGAGCAGATAACTCTCATTTTACAAATGGGGGAAACTGTGGCTCAGAGACGACCTTTAAAGGATAGTGGAGTCATATCATGTGTACCTTTCTGAATTAAGTTATAAGCCCTTGGAGAAAATGCAGGTGAAAAACAACAATGTGTCCGGGGCATTTGACCCTGCTCACTCTGTACCTGCTGGAACAACAGTGGTTCAGGGCAGTTGACCCTGGTGACTGTACCCTCCAGATATGTGTTGGGATGCTTTTGGTTGAAAGCAACAGAAAAACCAATTCAGATTGTCCTAAACAATAACAACAAGTGTGGGCATGGTAGGATTTGTTAGCCTACTTAATTGTAAAATGTGCACAAGTGGGATGGGTCTCAGGGTTAGCTGATTGAGTGGCTGACCAGTGTCACTGAGCACCTACTGTCTTTCTCTGCTCCTGCCCCATGTCATCAGTGTCATATTCTCATCACACCAGAGCCATAGTCTGTCCTAGAATACTCAAGTGAAAGTCCCGAGCTTCTCACTGATTGGCCACCCTTGAACCAGTCACTGAGGCCAGGGGAATGCCAGGATCTGATTGGCTCAGGCCTGTGGCAGGGGATATGGGGTTACCCTCCTTAGCTTAGACCACTCAGGACCTACCTGGGAGCCAGATCAGCCTCGCACACCTTAGGGAGGGATAGACTGGATAATGGGAAGACAAACACAGTGTCCCACAGAACGTGTGCTCCTGTGGAAGCTTAGGGTGAGAGAGAGGAGTCTACTGCCCTCTCAGTTACTGAGGCTCTAGGTCTGAGCCTCTTGCTGAGCTGAGCTCAGTGCATAATTCTGAAAAGTCTGCACTTTCTGTACAACATGACCTTAACTACAGGCCAGCTTCTCATCTCAAAAGAAACTGAGACTTAGAAGCAGATCAGGAGAAGTGCTGCCAGGTGACAAGGCAGCCTGGCAGCCTCCTGTAAGGTTTCCAGTTTGTCTCAACCATACAGCGCCTCCTACCTGAGATCTGACCCTATTGCATCCATGATTTATTTCAAGGCAGGCTCATTGTCACTTGTTTGGTCCATCTTATCTTTCTATCTCTTTCTAGGATAAAGAGAAATATCAGAAAATAATTTTCTCATGATTAAAAGAAAACTGACTTAACCATTTGTAAGAAAAGGAAGATTATTCTTTAAGGCTCCACCTTGGTGTCACCTGTGTCTCCTAGCTGCCAGTGACCTCTGTGCTTGAACATTACACATGCTAATTAGTCTTTTGAAATATAAATGGAAGAAGCTGTAGTTAAAAGAGAGTAGTGCCAGTAAAGGCATTTGCAGGGGTGTGTGTACAAGTAGAAGTGGAAACGTGAGTGCTGTGGAGAAGCTTAGCTGGTCTGGGGTTGAGACAGTGTGGCAGGATAAGGGCAGCTTGGAGGCATTAGTAGGTCCCGGAGAGTCTGGAGCCCTGGCTGTCAGAATAAGGCACTGACCTGGCACCCAGTTAGGGAGGTAGTAGGGTGCCACTGCAGGCTTTTGAGTAGATGAGTGAGATGGTGGAGCCCCCTACGCTGTGCAGAAAGGGTTGGAGCCAGAGGAGTCTAGCCACAAAGAGGCAGTTAGACATAGTAGGTTGTAGACACAGGCCTGGTGCAGAAGAAGTGGAGGCAGAGGGTGCCTGGTTACTTGGGGAGCATACTGGTGGGCTAGTCTAAGCCTTCATCCCTGGAGATGTTTCCAGTAACCACGCCATTCTGCCTGATCCTGCTGTTGGCACTGTGGGAATTTTTGGTTCTGTGGTGATGCTTCCTTTCTTTTCCTAAGAGATGAGGCCACTGTTTAGCCATGAAGGAAGAAGGCAGAGAAAGTTGGCTGTTGTCTGGCTGAGCAGGCTTCTGGAAGGAGAGGCTGCTTGCTCCCATGCCCACTGGCAGTGTGGCTGGTCTCACTAGGAGAATGTGGTGTCGCTTTCTCCAAAGATTTCTGTCCCCTTGGCAAAATGATGAGGTTGGAGGAAATGTGGTTGGTTTTCACACTTGGTTTTTGTTTTTTGTTTTTCTAAGCAGGAAAATCCCTTTTTTTAAATGACATGTTTATGGGTGTTTGTACCAGCTTGTAAAACGATTTTGGAACTCTCCTGAGTGGGCTGGGTAGGAGAGGGGAAGAGACTAGAATCCTCTGAGGTTGTCTGAGAAACTGGGCTAAGAACCATGGTCTTGCCAGGCTCAGTGGCTCACACCTGTAATCCTAGTACTTGGGAGGCCAAGGTGGGCAGATTGCCTGATGAGTTCACGAGTTTGAGATCAGCCTGAGCAAGAGCAAGACTCTGTCTCTAAAAAAAAAAATATCCAGGGGAGAGGGAGCGGAGGGGAGGGGGGAGGATGGGTGAAGGGAGGGTGATTGCAGGGATCCCACCTATGATTTCTCCTATAAGGGTACATGTGAATCTTTCTAAATGTTGAATATAAATGTCTTTTTTTTTTTTTGAGACAGAGCCTCAAGCTGTCCCCCTGGGTAGAGTGCTATGGCTTCACTGCTCACAGCAACCTCCAACTCCTGGGCTCAAGCGAGTCTCCTGCCTCCGCCTCCCAAGTAGCTGGGACCACAGGCGCCCACCACAACGCCCGGCTATTTTTTCGTTGCAGCCGTCATTGTTGTTTGGCGGGTCTAGGCTGGATTCGAACCTGCCACCTTAGGTGTACGTGGCTGGCGTCTTAGCTGCTTGAGCCACAGGCGCCGAACCGAATATAAATGTCTTAACCCAACAGTTATGAGAATGACATGATGGCTATGTTGGCCAATTGGATGAAAGTATTTCAAATTGTATATGGAAACAACACACTGTATCCCATGATAGTATTAATGTACACAAATATGATTTAATAATAAAAAAATATATATCCAAGCCAGTAGTGCCTGTGGCTCAAAGGAGTAGGACGCTGGCCCCATATGCCAGACGTAGCAGGTTCAAACCCAGCCCCAGCCAAAAACTGCAAAAAAAAAAAAAAAAAAAAATAGGGGGACGTCTGTGGCTCAAAGGAGTGGGGCGCCAGCCCCATATGCTGGAGGTGGTGGGTTCAAACCCAGCCCCAGCCAAAAACTGCAAAAAAAAAAATTGCCAGCTGTTGTGGTAGGTGCCTGCAGTTCCAGCTACTTGGGTGGCTGAGAAAAGAGAATCGCATAAGCCCAGGAGTTTGAGGTTGCTGTCAGCTGTGATGCCATGGCACTATACCAAGGACAACAGAGATTCTGTCTCAAAAATAAAAAAAAAAAAAAAAGAACCATGGTCTTAGGTGGCCTCTATCCCCGCACACATCTTATGGCTTCTAAATGGGCTGATGAGCCCAGAAGCCCCAAAGTGCAATGGGTGGGTCAGCAGCAGCAGCATCCAGCCCTGGCCCTGCCCCCCACCCCTCACTCCAAAGCCACATTTGAACATGAATCTTCAGAAGAGTCATGGCTGGGAAGTCTTCCCACCAGTTCAGGAAGAGAATCTCTCCTCTCTGTCCATCTGTAGTGAAAGTTCTCTGGGTTCAGCATGGCCCATGGCCCCTTCTGATGCCAGAGACTGAGGCCGAAGCCTCCACTTCCACTGCCTGCACTCGAGAGTGGTGCCTGCAGCTTTCAGCCCTTAGGCTCTCCTGATGTCTGGCTGGGTGAGGACAGGTGGAGAGTGGACCCCTCTTCTTTGGATGGGTTTTCTGCTTTGCCTGGCAACCCCAAGAATCCTACCGAGCATTGGGAGGCTTTCTGCAAAGCTCAGTCCCTAACTCAGTGAGACTTTGCTATTTTCCTAAAGGAATTGGCCCAAATAAGGAAAGAGGAAAAAGAGAAGAAAAGACGCCGCCTGGAGAACATCAACTCTCTGAAGTGCATGGGCTACTCCACACACGCAGCCAAGCAGGCGCTCCACCAGGCCAGTGGCAACCTGGATGAGGCCCTGAAGGTAACAGCCCCTCAGGGCCACTGGCCTTGCCCCTGGCCAATGGGTGGCATCCTGCCCAGCCCCAGAGTCTGGGCCAGTCCCACTGCCTCTGCGGCTCTCCACATACTTGCACTTCATGAAGCCCATTCCCATGGGCCTTCCTCCTAATCCTTGCATGGATCTGAGGCTCAGCTCCCTCCTGTGCTCCAGCTCCATGCTGGTGCCTGGCCCAGGCCTCCTGGCTCAGGACTGGCTCCTGTCCACACTGGTGGCAGAGGCCACAGGCAGGACTTTGTGTGGGGTTGCTGTGTGCAACAGAACGAGTTTAACATAAATAGATGTAATTTTCATAATTAAAGTTTTAGTGTAATTTTTTGGTATTAAATTTAATTCAAATATCCAATTTTATATATTTAACCCATGGCACATGTTGGTTAAAGGGCTTTTCAGAGAAATGCACAGAAAGGACAGCAGGTTAGGATCCCATGCAGGGGTGGTATGGAGGAGGGGTGGCAGGGTAGACTGGCCAGGTGAGTGGGTGTCATCTTGTGCCCTTGTGAGGAGGTCGCACCGAGGGAGCCCTCCTTACCTTTGCCTTTTCTTCCTGTCCTTTTCTTTTTTTTTTTTTTTTTTTTTGAGACAGAGCCTCAAGCTGTCCCCCTGGGCAGAGTGCCGTGGCATTACAGCTCATAGCAACCTCCAACTCCTGGGCTCAAGCGAGTCTCCTGCCTCCGCCTCCCAAGTAGCTGGGACCACAGGCGCCCGCCACAACGCCCGGCCATTTTTTGGTTGCAGCCATCATTGTTGTTTGGCGGGTCTGGGCTGGGGATTCGAACCTGCCACCTTAGGTGTACGTGGCTGGCGCCTTAGCCGGTTGAGCTATAGGCGCCGAGCCTTCCTGTCCTTTTCTTTGGAAGACTCCACAGCCTTTATTTATACATATTATATGTGTGCCCTAAATTTAAAAATGTTGTTTGGATATCTAGTTTGATTTTTTATGTTGAAGAAAATATAAAAGGGGCAGGAAATTCTGTCTAAAGGGACTGATGAGGCTCAGAGATAGTCTGGACTGTGTGAGCAGCTCACAGAAGCCTCAGCCACGGTAGTGGTTAGTACTAGAAGGGACATTCCTCAGCAGGACTTATGAAGGTTAAGATTGAGTATTGTGCCATGAAGATGTCAAGGGTTAAGAGAATTCTACCACCTGCTTGATGCTTTCAGGGCAGAAGGCCTTGGGCAGACTGGGCAGCCCTGAGCTGCTAAGGGAGCTGAATGCAACTGCTCACAGCCTCAGGTCCCCATTCCTGCTTCTGTGGATGCTGTGGCCCCTCTTGCTTCCTGGGGAGAAGAGGTCCTTTCCCCGGCTGGTCTTATTCCTCCTTCAGACCTCAGCTCTGACCTCCCCTCTGCCCAGAAGCTGCTGGTGAACCCCAGCCTGGGTTGGGGCCGCCTTCTCTGCCTCAGGGTGGCCTTTGTGTAGTCCCACTTCATTGTCCTTGTTTGTCCTGTAAGTAGCCGAGGCCAGGCTGGTCTACCCAGCATGCAAGAAGTGCAGTCTCTGAGTGAAGGGTCGCCCATGATGAGTAAAAGGCATTCCTGTGTGTTCTAGATTCTGCTCAGTAATCCCCAGATGTGGTGGTTAAATGATTCCGATCCTGAAACCAGCAACCATCAAGAAAGTCCTTCCCAGGAAAACATTGACCAAGTGAGTGACAGTGCCTTTATACCTCCCTGCCTGTGCAGCTTTGGGTGGTGTCAGCTGGAGTAAGGGGTGAACCAGGCAGTGGCCCAGGCTCCAGGCATGACCTACCAACGCAGCACGGAGAACAGCGGAAATGGGAAAACATCCCAAATTCTTCCTCGTGCGGCGCCACTTCCTTTTCTGTGCGGCACTGTCTACCTCAGCCTGCTGTTCACATCAGCCCCATTTCCCTGCCTGGCACCTAAAAAGATGTTACTGTGTCCTGTAAACTCATCTAGCTTCATGTCCCAAGTGATGACTGCATCCACACCCCCTCCCCTGACACACACGCATTAGTATGCCTGCTACATTGTGGCTACTTAACTGATAGTTAAGTAGGCTGGTGTGACACTTTGCTGTCAGCCCCCACGGTGGTCACCTGTCATGAAATGACCGCATACTGACCCATTCGACTCAGGTCTTCTAAGACTTCTCCCAGGTGGCTCCATACTCCCCACACTCAGGCTGCTGCTGCTACATGACTTGTGCTCTGCATGCTGTGAGTTCTTAGCAACGAGATCTGGCTGTCCAGCTATGTCTGTGGGTGACAGGAGCTTTGGAGGTAGAGGTAGAGGTCAGCATCACAGCGTCCCCTCCCTGTGCCCTCCCCTAGCTGGTGTACATGGGCTTTGACGCCACAGTGGCCAAAGCTGCACTGAGAGTGTTCCGAGGTAACGTCCAGCTGGCAGCACAGACCCTTGCTCACAACGGGGGCAGCCTCCCTCCTGACCTGCGGCTCTCGGCAGAAGACTCTCCATCAACACCATCCACATCCCCTTCAGATTCTGCAGGTAGGTCTGAGTGCCATGTGGAAAGCAGAGTGTCCGCAGCCTTGGAAGCCGATAAGGGAGCCTGTGCCCTGGGCTGCAGTTGACATGGACACATAGAAGGGCGTCTGGCCGGCTGCCTGGGCAGTGTGGCCAGCAGGAGGCATAGTCTGCCATTGACCTTGGCCATGCAGTCATCCCAAGGATTATACCCCTTACATAACTCATTGCTATGATATTTTATTGTAGGAACCTCTAGTGCCTCGACAGATGAAGACATGGAGACAGAGGCCGTGAATGAGATCCTGGAAGACATCCCAGAACATGAGGAAGATTATCTAGATTCAACTCTGGAAGATGAAGAAATTATTATTGCAGAGTACCTATCCTATGTAGAGAACATAAAGTTGGCAACAAAGAAAAACTAAATAATGAACAGAAATAAGTATAAGTTTCTGCTTATAAACGCTATCATTATGAAAAGTTTAATGCACATCTTTTGTTCTTCTTACTTTTTATCTGATTTTGCTCCAAGAGTTCATCCTCCTAGGGTATAGGAGTGGCAGCAGGGCCCGGGGGTCCTGGTCCTTAATAGATGTTCTTAGGTAAGGAGCTCCACTGTCCTGGCTCAGGCCCAGATCTCTTGCCTGGTTTTTCAGCCAGCAGTGGGCAGTGGGCTTGCTGCCAGCAAGGGGGTGCTGTCTGCTGAAGGTCCAGGAGAGGGTAATGGGGAGGAGGGAGGGCATCCCGACCCTCCTACTCATTTTGCCCAGTTTTCCTGCCCTCGTGTGCCTGCTTCCAGCTATTTTCCCTCTTCCTGTGATGCTGTCTTCACTGTGCGAGCCCCATGTCTTCCTGTGCCACCCTCAGCACCCATTCCCCAAACCATCCTTTGAATCTTCATTCCAAGTGCTATGGCATAAAGAGGGGGCTCAGGCCTCAGCCGCCGTCCCGCGTTGTAGCAGATGCCTTCAGCCTGAAACATCAGTATTTTATGCTCCTAGTTCAGTACAATATGCACTTGAAAAGTTGCAGGTAAAAGTAAGGCTTTATATGTATTCAGAATTACTCATTACAAAAACTATTTTAGTAAATGGGAAAGTTTTAAATGCTAACCAAAGCAACTTATTTTTAATTAACATTTTTAGACTGCTCTCATACTGACCTCACTGCTAGCTAAGAGACCTCTGTGTTTCAGATACACTTTGTCTACATTTCTTGTGGGATTTTTTGTTATGTGATAAGACTGTTTCTAAAGATACATAGTTAGCCTTTTATTGACTCAAATACCCATTCTCACTGCGCCATGCATTCCTCTGTAGATATGTGTGAATGGAAAGCCCTCCCCTAGGACTGGCAGCAGCAGCTGGATGTGATCTGAGATTCTTCCTCCTTTCCAGAAGGCACTCAAGGCTCCTCTGGCTGGTGACAGGGTGGGCCACCTGTTGCTGTCAGGGGGCTGGCTGAATTGCTCCAACTTTTTCATGAAGTTTGGTTTGGACCGACAGGAATCTTGTCAATTCTTTTTAAATGGCTACCAATGGAAATAAAAGGTGGAAAATATATTCAATTGTCAGCCTAATTTTGCAAGAGCTAGTCAATTGTGTCAAATGTTGAAAATGTCTGTGTCACCTAGAGCTTCATTTCCATTCCAAGGTGTTGACTGAGTTTTGTGAGGAAATGGCATGAGCACACTCACACAGCACAAAAAGACCCCATATGAAAGGCAGGACTTGGGTGGATCACGCAAGGAGCACACCTTAGGAGGGGGTGAACCACACCTGTCAGGTGGCCTTGGGAGTGGCTGGCAAGCCAAGGTAATGGGGTGTCTTTTGGCCTCATGACAACTCAAATTTGGGGCCTGAATTGAAGCTCTTGGCTCATAGGCCACTGTCTTGTGCTTCGTTTTAGGCATAGCTTCTAATGTCCCAACTGTTTTTAATTACAGAAAAGATTAGGGAAGCAACAACAATGCTGGCAGGGCCCTGTTCTCACCCAGTGGTGGAGGTGGGCAGTTGTACGTCCATGCATGGCTGCTGTGGGGCCTGTGCCTTTGGTTTTAAGAAACAGGACAGGTGGCTTGGCGCCTGTGGCTCAAAGGGCTAAGGTGCCTGCCACATACCTAAGGTGGCGGGTTCGAATCCCCAGCCCGGGCCCGCTAAACAACAATGATGGCTGCAACCAAAAAATGGCCAGGCGTTGTGGCGGGCGCCTGTAGTCCCAGCTACTTGGGAGGCTGAGGCAGGAGACTCGCTTGAGCCCAGGAGTTGGAGGTTGCTGTGAGCGTGATGCCATGGCACTCTACCCAGGGGGATAGCTTGAGGCTCCGTCTCAAAAAAAAAAAAAAAAAGAAAGAGGACAGGCAGCTGCGGAGTGGGAGGGAGAGTGCTAGAGAGACAGAGGTCATCACAGAGGCCTGGGAAGGTTCTCTGTAGAGGCACAGGAGAAAGGAGAACACTCTGGATCTGGGATCAAAAGTACTGAGTGGGGTTAGGACAGGCTGAGTACGACATATTCACGAGGTCTCAGGGTGGTTCTAGACCCACCAGAGGTGGGGGAGAGATGGATGAGGGCAGATGGCTGCTGAGTCCATCCTGGAAGGCAAGCTTGTTGCCGATGGAGGCCTGGGGGCAGAAGTGGACACACAGGAGGGCAGGTAAGGGCTACACCATGCTGTGTGGGGTGTGGTCAGCTGTCCTCAATGTTGATCCCTTTGCTTATGGAACTATCTGCTTAGAGCTCTGATGACACTGCTATGCCCTGTTCTCATTTTCTTTCAAAGGGTAGTTCTGGTCCTCTGTCCCCTAGCTGAAGAGAAGACAGACATCTGGGTTCTTCCTTTATAGTGAGGAAATTGTAGTGTGGCCGAAAGGATCTGAATACTGCACTTACCATGTCTCTCAGGCTCATGGGCACCAAGGAAATAACAAACATCTGATCATTTTTATGTCCTCAACATAAAATCACCCAAATGTGTTAGGCTGAATACACATAGGAAAGAAATGCAGCAGCTGGACATGCGTTCTTCAGCAGGGCTCACAGGCAGTGCTCAAGGTGGTTCTCTGGGCCAGTACTTCCTGAGTGTCACTTTGGTTTGTTGGTGGGCATACCCCTCACCACAGACACAGCAGGACCTGGCCACCCCACAGGTCTGTGTATGTGCTTAAGTCGCACCCAGCACTATCAAAAAGCCTGTTTTCGGGGTTGGGGGGAGCCCTTGGGTCCCAGGTTTAGAGGTTTGTCCTAGAGCAGAATCAAACATGCACATCCCTCGCTGCTGCCCACGATGCAAAGTGCACCCTGCACCTGTGCATCGGCTGGAGGGCTAGATCACCATCAGGCCTGGGCTTCCCGAGAGCAGCTGGGTCCCCCTGGGCAGCAGCCCTAGCTGATGAAACACCTTCTACAGCAAGGCAACAGAGCGCAGAGGGCTGCTTCTGCCCAGGAGCTCCTGCGGCCAGAGGCTGAGCTCTCAGCCACAGTGTTCTCCGGGACTTCTCTTCCTGCACCAGGGCCCAGCTCAGCACAGGCCACCCTGGATGTAGGAAGCAGCAACCAAGGACTTGAAGAGTGCCCCCTTCAGATGCGCCATGGGTGCTGGGGAGGCTCCCCAGGATCCCTCCTGGCCTGAACCCTGTTCTCCACTTAAGCCCCTAAGCACAGGGCTCCCTGCTGGGGTACTCAGCGGCCCTGGTGCATGCCCAGTGGCATGCTGGCACAGAGATGGCTCCTGTGCCTGAGGTCAGGGGGCTGCTGCCAGCCCTTCTGCTCCGGACCCTGAAGAAGAGGCCTGCTCCAAGACAGGGGTCCCAACTGTCACCCGAGTCACTCTCCACATGAATGACACAGGTGGCAGGCCTGTATCTCACTATCTCACCCATAGAAGTGGCAGTGGAGTCCAGCCTCCCAGGCTCCTGGGCCTCTAGCCCGGAGGGAAAGGAAGGAAGCTGAGACCCAGTTTGCAAAACAAAACAGGACAAAGTCCAGAGCACTTTTAAGGATGTGTATTTCAGTTCTTTGTGAAGGTCCTTGTGACAGTGGCTTTTGTAAAAAAAAAAAAATCCTCATTTTTTTCTCAGCAGGAAAGGCCCAACTTATGGGGCTTGGACAGCTTGGGCTGTCAGCCCTGAGACCAAGTTGGGGAGTCCCAGGATCACCAGGGTGACAAGGCCCGTAGCCTTCCTCCTTAGGGGGCGGAGAGCCTTTTGGCTAAGAGGGGACAGGAACCTTGTTCCTGCGGGCAAGAACTCTCAGGAGAGGGTTTGGAACGTCTCTAAACGCCAAGGGAAAGGGAAAGCCGGCTCCCACCTTGGAGGTGGAGGGCTGAAGGGCTGGCCGCTGTCGCCGTCTCCGTCGGTGGAAAGCGGCGGGCCGCGGGCTCAGGCCGGCGGCAGGGG